GATTTGGTTCGAAGATTAGTGACTTAATGCATTAAGTAAGCTGGCAGACTGATAAACTTGACGAGTCCATAAGGGGACTCGGCGAGTTGGTTTGGGATTATCCTAATTTTGTTGAAAACGGAAGAACTCGACGAGTTGGATCGCGATATCATGATTTTGTGATTTATGGAAACTCAAAGAGTTGAATAATAACTCGGTGAGTTAAGTCAACTCGAAGTGTTGACTTTGACTTTGACCTGGGTGTTGACTTTGACATGGATGTTGACTTTGACTTTGACACAGGTGTTGACTTTGACTTTGACTAAAGTTGACTCTTAAGGGGGTTAGAAGTATGAAATGGTAATTAAGAAGACGTTTTATGTTTAGGGGATTGAGTTGGGTTGATATTCGGAGCTGATGACTGTTTAGTTACTTTCCTATATTCGAAGTGAGTTACCTTCTCGATAGTAGTGGGTCTAAGGCACCAATATCGGCCCACTAGTAGTTGTTTATAGTTAGATGATTGTCTTTATGATAATTGTCTATTATCATTTATATGCTAGTATGCTATGATATTATGTGGTAGTGGTAGGGGTGAAATAGACCCCATATCCGGTTGATAAGACCGAAGGGGAGACCATCACCCAGATATGCTCGGTAATAACTAGTTGATAAGACCGAAAGGGGAGGCCAACACCCAGATAGGCTCAACAATATCCGATTGATAAGACCGAAGGGAAGGCCAACACCCAGATATGCTCGATAGTATCCGGTTGATAAGATCGAAGGGGAGGCCAACACCCAGATATGCTCGATAGTATCCTATTGATAAGTCCGAAAGGGGAGGCCTGCACCTAGATATGCTTGGCAGTATGTTTGGTATGTGGTATGATGGGGGAACTCACTAAGCTTCGTGCTTACGGTTTACAGTTTTGGTTTCAGGTACTTCTTCTTCAAAAAGAAAGGAGTCTACATGATCGCAACGCATCACATTATGATTTTCCGCATGACTAGATCTTTGGGAGTTGTACTATGATATTATCTTTTATGACATGTTTTGATGATTGACATACTGATTTGATTATGATATGGGATGACACTATTGATCTTTTCAGACTATTGGTTTTTATAAATTACTCAATTGAAAATGAAATTTTTGGTCTTAAATCTTAGGATGTTACATTATGTGGATTAAGAGTGATTAACATTTGAATGATCCCTAGACTAGATTGCTAACCATCTGATTCCAAATCCCCGCTTCATCTCTCTTGCTGGTGATTGGTAAAAAAATATTATTTATTTATTTGTTTATCCTTCTAGCCGTTGCGACAGGCGAAAAAAATAAAAAATTTAATATTTGTTTCTTATTAATGAATATATATATATATATATGTGTGTGTGTGTGTGTGAGAGAGAGAGAGAGAGTGTGTGTGTGTGTGTGTGTGTGTTTATCATTTGACACATCTATAAATGCATCACTACTTTCACCTTCAAATTCACACCGTCTTATATCAGTTTCTCTTTATTTTTTTTAAAAAAAATGAATCCCAACAATCTAACCCTAACATCCAATAGAAGAAAAAACCCATTGTTTTGAGTTCAAGCACCTCAATTCAAAATATTTTGTCTCTCGATCCATCCCAAGGGGTTTATCGTCCCCAACTTGATGCTCTTACTCAATCCCCTTCATAATTTCAATACTAAAATGTTAGACAATTTCACCCTATGCAAGTGCCAAATGTTACTCCAGATATGCTCACAAAATTTGTTGTTTTTGCCGATCAAATCAACACCAAAGCTAAGCCCCACTCCATCAATCTCAAACCCAAAGTCAAACACCACTCTCTCACTCTCAACCACAATACTAAAGCATTGATGAGTCAGAGGACGAAATTGTACGAGAAGCTCAACCCCCACCACCACCACCACGCCGCAAAGGAAAACAATTTGTGCAAGAGACTAAAAGACAAAAGCCGATAACATGGACTCCCCAAGAAGAGCTAGTGTTGACAAAGCTTGGGTTGATATTTATAAGGATTCGGTGAAGGGAAATGCATAACCGAAAGATGAAGAGTACCGTACCAAACACCAAACGAATTCAAAGTTTCGAGAAATAGCGAAAGTCGTTTAAAAAATAAACGGATTGTACAGCAACCTAAAAACTCCAAGGAAGAGCGGTCAAGAAGATGAAGAAATTCTTCAAAAGGCATTGCATTTTTTTGCAAGGAAATTATTTTTAAATAAATCAATTATTTTTATTTAAAAATAAAATAAAAATGAAATGTAGTTAAATGTGACCATTTTCTGTAAGGAAAAAGAAGAGTAAAGAAAAAACTTACTTGGTACTAAAAAAATTTAAGATGGTTTAACAAGAAACCTATGAGAGTAATAGTATGTTCCGATTCAGGCCACCTACACTCACTTCCGTGGAAACTCGGATCAGTAACTTTATTTGTTCGTTGAATTAAGCTTTCTTCCGATTATAGATCTTATGGAGATGTCGATGAGGTTTGTGAATTGTTCATATCCTCATTGGAAACCCTAACTAGTTGTTAATGATTAGTTTATTAATAAGATTATGTTAGTTGACTAATCTTCAAATAATCACCTAATCATGTGGTGTGGCCCCTCACAAAATCAAAGATCATGTTCCTCCAAACTTTAATCTATATTTTATTGCATCCTCAGAGGCCTACAATTTTTATTTATATATATAATTATAGTAGATTGCAGTTTGGAAGGTTATGAGTTTTTAGAGGACCTGAAAGTGCCACGTAGTCCATGTAGAAAAGATGTGGATTGGAGATGATGGGTGAGTCTAGGGTTTCAAATAGAAAACAGTAGACAAAACTGTAAAAATGGTCCTGTGGTATGCACTTTTTTTGAGGTTTGGTCCAAACTTCGATTTTTTTGGATTGGTGATCCTTTTGAGCTACTTTGTATGTGGAAAAGATCCCTTGCCAAATTGAAATGACTAATATACCCTCCTGGTATTTTTTTTTTTAATCTTTTTTCTATTTATTTTAATGTTTTTTAAATTAAAAAATAAGGCCTCTCTCTCTATCTATCTCTCTCTAGAAACCCATATGCAAGAACGAAATCTACACATAAACACATATATAAATCGATATTTGGGGATGAACATACAAAAATTGATTTCCAGAACAAAAGTTTCTTGAATTCCCTCTCTTTGAATACCTTTTGCCCCTGTTCCTAATGCAGTTGTTTTGGTGCTGAAACACTTCATGGAGCTTGAACTGTTACCTCTAGTTGATGGAGAAACGTCTGAATTAGAGTTCGATTGACCAAAAAAATCTCCATCTTCACTTATAGAATGTATTTGCAGGGTTTTCCGTGCTAGTAGTTGAGCCCCAGTTTACAAAACAGGAGGAGGAAAGATCATGTTGTCGATAATGAAGAGCATTGGTGTAAGACTAGGAATTGTTCTTACGATCATATATCCATCCCAAGAGGATCTGTGTACCCATATATGATTTTTGAAGTTGAGGTACTCTATATACCCATTTTCTTCACCAAAATTACATCAAATCGGAATGGGGAAGGGATACCGACATCAGAGATTTGGGGTTGTGTTACCTGTTACCGGTGAACTCGATGAACATTGAATCAACAAGGCTTGAACTTGATGAACCCTAAATCTGAAAGGATCGGACTCGATGACAAAATCTAGAATTGGAGGTACCGATTGACACATATACAATCTGGCTTTTCGTTCCCGAAGAGGTCTTTTGATGTTTAAAACAAGAGATATGTCTTTTTCAAGAAGATAATCGTTTGCATATCGTTTTAGGATCGTTGGAGGATCTTGTGAAAGAAGATAATCAGGTTTTTTTTTTCTACAGGTGTTTAGGGATGGATCGAAGAAGCATGTTTTGACAAATTTCGAATATATGGCTGTAATGGAGATGAAAATGTTTAGAAGAGGGTGTCGATGGGGAGAGAGAAGGTGCGCCCTTCTTAATTTAGTAATTATTAAAATAAATATAATAATATAAGATTTAAAAAGAAATGAAAGAAAAATGAAAAATAAGTAACCAAGGGTGTCATTATTCAGGGACAAAAAACGCAATCAAATTAGCTCAAAAAGACCATAAAACCAAAAAAATCGGGGTTTGAACTAAAACCTAAAAAAAATAACACCACAAGAATTATGTTAGTTGAGGTTTGTGAATTGTTCATATCCTCATTGGAAACCCTAACTAGTTGTTAGTGATTAGTTTATTAATAAGATTATGTTAGTTGACTAATCCTCCAATAATCACCTAATCACGTGAAGTGGCCCCTCACAAAATCAAAGATCCTGTTCCTCCAAACTTTAATCTATATTTTATTGTATCCTCAGAGGCCTGCAATTTATATATATATATAATTATAGTAGAGTAGATTGCAGTTTGGAAGATTATGAGTTTTTAGAGGACCTGAAAGTGCCACGTAGTCCATGTAGAAAAGATGTGGATTGGAGATGATGGGTGAGTCTAGGGTTTCAAATAGAAAACTGCAAAGTATTATCAACATATGATTTTTCATCATTCCAAAAAGAGAAAACTATTGTTTTTTATTCATTCTCCCTCTCTCTCTCTCTCTCTCTCTCTCTCTCTTACACTGTGTGTTGACAGGGAAATAGTTTTCCATTTTATGTGGCTGTGGACAAAAGGTCACTGCTCTTAAAGAAACGATTTGATTTTTGCGGTTCCCGTCGGCTGAAGCTCAACAACTACCTCCCGATTAAGCTTCTCTCATCGTCATAATTCGTAACTGGTACTCCAAATTTGCATGCTTTTCGTTTTCGCTTTGATGATTTGTTGCTTATCCAACTACATCCTTGAGTTTTGATTTGTGATCGTGTGGTTCTTATAGCTTGTTTGAATGTTCAACAATTTCAGGTCAGAACGTGTTGCTTGTATCGTTTGTGGAGCTAAAATGCTTTTCTGATTCGCGATGGCGAGAGAATTTTTTACTACTGTATGCATTTGGTCTGATCGTTATAAAGCTATAGGCGGATGATAATGGAAAACTCGTCGGAATCCGGTTGGCAGAGGTCCGGCAGCTCGCGCGGGTTGAACTCTTCAGGAGTTTCGAACAGAAACCCCAGGATAATTCCTACAGGAACTTTCAGATTCTCCGGCGACACAGATCATGATTCCGGAATCATACCAGGGAGAAGAAGAAGAGAAAAAACCACTGCTTCCGTCTTGCCTCAATCTAACCGACTCGGAGCTGGAACTCAGTTCGGTTACTTCAGGGAAGACGACGGAGCTGTTATCCGGCCAGTGGAAGCGAAGGACGTTAGCTTACGACAGTGGTTAGATAACACAGAACGAGTCGTCGATGCTCTCGAATGCTTGCATATATTTACACAGATCGTTGAAATCGTGAACCTCGCACATTCACAAGGGTTTGTGGTTCATAATGTTCGACCTTCCTGCTTCGTCATGTCGTCGTTTAACCGTGTCTCCTTCATAGAATCTGTATCTTGTTCAGATTCAGGTTCTGATTCATGCGAGGATGAATCAAACAACAACAATCAAACAGCTGATTTCATGGGTGGATTGTGCTCATCTTCGGGTCCCGATCGAGAAAACCAAACCTCCTGGTTGCAATCCGGTTCAGAGAATCTAAACACCAGTAACGTCGACCAAGCGGAAGAGAAGAAAGACCGTTTCCCGATGAAGCAAATCCTGCAAATGGAAAGTAACTGGTACACAAGCCCGGAGGAGGCCGCCGGTGGTCAAAGCTCGGCCGCTTCTGATGTTTATCGACTTGGAGTTCTTCTCTTTGAGGTATTTTTTCCATAATTTTTTTTTCATCCATTTCTTTCTCATAACCTGAATCACTCGAATTCAATAATCTATGTCGATTTACAGTTATATTGCACAAGTAACTCACCAAAAGAAAAGAACGCCACCATGTCTAGCTTGAGACACCGTGTCTTTCCTCCTCAATTATTACTAAAATGGCCTAAAGAAGCTTTATTTTGCTTATGGTTACTGCATCCAGAGCCTGCTAGTCGGCCAAAAATGGAGTGAGTTTTTAGTTTTTAGTTTTGAATTTCCTCTAAAGGGCAATCTGGGTATTTGACTATTTGTTAATTACTTATTTATATCATAATCTTGTTCTAATTTTGTATTTTTTGTTATTAGTGAAGTGCTACAAAGTGAATTTCTTAATGAACCTAGAGACAATATACTCGAACGTGAAGCAGCAATTGAGCTCAAAGAAAAGATTGAAGAACAGGAATTGTTACTGGAGTTTCTTTTAATGCTGCAACAGAAAAAGCAGGAATCTGCAGACAATTTGAGAAGAACTGTTTCTTTTATATCTTCTGATTTACAAGAAGTTACAAAATTACAGATGTCCATTCGTGATAAAGGAGACTTAACTTCAAACCATGGAGATTTCCCATTTACTAATGATGATTCTGCAAGCTCAGGATCCAGAAAACGGATTCGACCCGTGACCCAAATTCCGGAAACATCCGGTAGTTTCCAAGATGAACAACCTTCTAGAAGCTCTCGGTTGATGAGAAACTTCAAGAAACTAGAATCAGCTTACTTTTCAACAAGACGCAGAGCTTTCAAATCAGTGGGAAGAAATGCAAATGCACCAATGAGTAGTGTTCTTACAGAGAGAAGTTCTGTGAATAATTTTGAAGGTAAACAAAGCGGATGGATTAATTCCTTTTTGGATGGATTATCAAAGTATTTGACTTTTAGGAAGTTAAAAGTCAAAGCAGATTTAAAACAAGGCGATCTGTTAAACTCTTCAAACCTCGTATGCTCTCTTGGATTCGATCGTGATGGTGAATTCTTCGCGACAGCTGGCGTCAACAAAAAAATAAAAGTATTCGAATACGATTCGATTGTAAACGAAAATCGCGACATTCATTACCCTGTTGTTGAATTGTCGAGTAGATCCAAATTAAGCAGTATTTGTTGGAATGGCTACATCAAATCCCAAATTGCTTCAAGTAATTTTGAAGGTGTAGTACAGGTAAATATATAAAAAAAAAATCAATTTTCTTTTATTAGATGGTGAAAGTTAATGTCAGAAATAGGTAACCAACTATTTAAAGTGTTCAAAAAACACCCCTGGACAAAAAAAAATGTTATCAAAAGGCAAGTTACTGCTACTACATTTGTTCAAAAGATATCATGGTGACCTACTGATTTCCTATTATAACATGTTTATCAGGTAAATTGAAGGGTTAATGTCGTAAATGGGTAACAAATTATTTAAACTGTTAATGGTAAACTCCCTAGACCACTTCAAACACCATTCACCACCACAACCACCACTTCGTGGTGGTGGTGGTGGTGAATGGTGTTTGAAGTGGGCGGGGGTGTTTTTTGAACAGTTTAAATAGTTTGTTACCCGTTTGGACACATTAGCCCTTCAATTTACCTGATAAACATGTTATAATAGGAAATCAGTAGGTTACCATGGTATCTTTTGAACAAATGTAGTAGCAGTAACTTGCCTTTTGATAACATTTTTTTTTGTTCAGGGGTGTTTTTTGAACACTTTAAATAGTTGGTTACCCGTTTCTGACATTAACCCTGAATAGTAATCAGTCATTTAATTATCTTTTGTTATTTCAGATATGGGATGTGACAAGGAACCAAGTATTTATGGAGTTGAAAGAGCACGAGAAACGTGTGTGGTCGGTTGACTTTTCAACCGCGAATCCGACAATGATAGCGAGCGGGAGTGATGACGGATCCGTGAAGCTCTGGAATATCAATCAGGCAATTCAGCTTTGAAAACTAAACGTACTGCAGATATATTTAATTGTAAAAAAGTAAAAGAAAAAAAAAATTGAAAATTGTGTAATAAATTTGTTTTTTCTTACATTGGTTGTCTATGCAGGAGGCGAGTGTGGGGACCATTAAAACGAAGGCGAATGTTTGTTGTGTTCAGTTTCCAAGTGATTCTGGGAGCAGTTTAGCATTTGGTTCAGCTGATCATAGGATTTATTACTATGATTTGAGGAATCCAAGTATGCCACTTTTTACATTAGTTGGACACAACAAAACTGTGAGCTATGTGAAATTTGTAGATTCCACGACTCTTGTATCATCATCCACTGATAACACTCTGAAGCTTTGGGATTTATCAGAGTGCACTTCTCAAGTCCTTGATTCCCCCATTCAGTCCTTCACAGGACATATGAACCTAAAGGTACACAATTATTTAATTTGTTTACTTCATTACTGTTCTTTTCAGATTTGACCCAAGGGCAAAATCGTCATTTCAAAATAAATTAAGCAAATAAAAATGCTTATGCACCTATACGAAAGCATTAGGAAAGCAAAACATGAGAATAAGTACTAAATTTGATAGAGAAAGGGTTCTGGGACCAAAATCGCAAAAGTCAGCTACACCGAGGGACCAAAAATGTAACTTAGTCGGAAATTAAACTAACTTTGATATGTTTTTTTTTATTTTCTTTTCAGAACTTTGTTGGATTATCGGTATCTGATGGTTACATTGCGACTGGTTCAGAAACAAATGAGGTAGCAAACTTTATTTGGTGGTAAATTGTTAGAGAATTGAATTTGATTTATTGTGAAAAATAAAAAATAATTAAAATAAAATGTTGTTGTTTCAGGTATTTGTGTACCATAAGGCATTTCCAATGCCTGCATTTTCGTACAAATTCAACACCACAGATCCAATTTCAGGAGATGAAGTGGACGACTCTGAACAATTCATTTCATCTGTGTGTTGGAGAAGTCAATCTTCCACTTTGGTTGCAGCAAATTCCATGGGGAATATCAAGCTTTTGGAGATGCTTTAAATTTAAGTTTAAGTTTCTTTCTTTCTACCTAAAAACATATATATATAATATATAATATAAAGCAAATCAAAGGTGTATAGGGACAGAAATTTTGATTTTGAGTATGCATGCATGCACTTACTTTGTGTTGTAATGTAGATAAAGAATTTAGTGGGACAAGACAAGAGGAAGGAAAATGTATATTTTTGCAACTTTTGTTTTTACCTTTCAAACTAAGCATGCACATTGTTTGCTAATTCTTGTTTCCAAATAAAGAAACCACTCAATAGTCTTGAAAATTGAAAAGTTAATCATAATGTGATTTCATAAAAGAAAACCAGACTTGTATGTTTACTCTTGTGAAATTGTAGAAAATACTTGACTTTGACAAAGTGTGTTATTTCATTTGGATGAAATTGTAACAGGAGCTAGATAAATCAAATATGGGAATTGAATTCCTACTTTTGGTTGTATTGCATAATAAACAAATACATATCTTCAGTTGTATAGGAAAAATGTCAATTTTCAGAGATCAATTTTCGAAGGATGCACTTGATGAATGGCTGGAAGAACAGAAGTGTCATCTTATTTATTTTGTGAAATATCTATATCTGTTGAAGACCAAAATCTAAAATCCAAATTAGATCAATCCGATAAAGAGGTTACAAAGCTTAACTAGTTTTAGGAATCCAATTACTGAAAAGTTGAGGGCTAAAAGGGTAAGAAAAAGAAACTGATAACATCCTCTTAGTACTTGACTCGATTCTTTAGAGGAGGAATCGTTTGGTGACAGAAAAAAGAGAGTTTATGAAAAGATTCGTGAATTAAGAAATAAACGAGAAGAGGGGGTATGTTGGTAATTTGACATTTTCTTACTTTTACTACTTATTATGACTATATATAAATTCTTGTTTTTAACATGTTTAATATTTTTTTCATAATAGTTATTACCAAAACCGGTTGCTTATAAATGAGGCAAGAAACATGGGTGTGAAGACGATGTTTCTGTTAGTCTTAGGAAGTTTATGTCCCAGTGGCACAATAGTAAATCTTTCAGGGAAGATTACGAAAAGAAGTTCTTGCATGGACAAAAATGCCCTTGGAATGAAAGAAGCTGATGTGGGAAAGACGAAGCTAGAGGAAAAGCCAGCAGTGAAACCAAGATAAAAGCTCACAAGGAAGCCGAGAAGAAGCTTAAGGATATTATTATGGGAAATTGGGTAATTTTAACCACTTTTAAATGTATATTTGAAAAAAGTAATTTTTTTTTTCTTTTTTGCAAAAATGACCATTTTGTCCGGAATGGGTCATTTTGGACCAAGAATAAACAATTTTTTGACTAACAACAATGTGCCATTCCGGATTCCGAATTAAAATATCAGATTTCGAAAAAAAAAACTCCAAAATTTCAAGAACAGGTCAGAAATCCGAATAACAATTCTGAAATTTTAAGAAAAAAGAAATTGTTTTTGTTTCAATTTTACAAAAGTTGAATAAATATAGTAAATGTTAACTATATATATTATATTAGTACATAAGGATATCCAGAGTGGTAGTTGTTCCACGCATGAAATGTTGAGCTAAGTTGGATCCTAGAGAGGCATGAACACTGCCCCCAAGGTGGGTGGGTTGGGTGTGATGTGGGTGGTAAGACAAAAGAAGGTGCAATATAAATGGCTAGTCTTTGTATTCAACCATTGCTCAGTTTCGTCCGTTTAAAGCATTTAAAAAAATCAATTCATTATTTCTTTAATTTCTCTCTATATATACATTCATTTTACGCAAAATTTTCAAACTAAAACACACACACTCTTTCAAAACAAAAATACATTCAACAAGAAAATGGATAATTTTTTCAGTGCGATTTCTTCATCATCCGATGATGATACTGATGACGACTTGGTTTTGCACACACTATTGTTTGCGGCACAAGACATGGTACATGACAGAGGCGAAAGTTCAACCATCGAGAAGAAGCGTAGAAAATGGATCAACCGGGATCAAGAGGCGACACATGAACTTTTGGTACGTGATTATTTTGCCATTGATGGTTTATATGATCTATCGAAATTCGAAGATCGTTTTTGTATTAGTAGAAATTTGTTCTTATGTATAGCTAGAGATTTGGAACGTTATTATGAGTTTTTCCAATTACGATGAGATGCCAGAGGTAAACGTGGTTGTACTACAATACAAAAATATATGGCCGCTCTTAGATAATTGGCATATGGCATAGCCGCAAACGCATCAGATTAGTATTTGAAAATATATGAGAGGATGGGTCAAGACTGCACATATCTTTTTTGTGAGTATGTTATAGAGCTTTATCGTAGTATATACTTGTGACATTCGACTAAAAGTGATGTCGAAGTTATATGTCGCGCATCAAGCTAAACATGGTTTTCCATGGATGCTTGGTAGCATTGATTCAATTTGATTGTACACATTAGGAGTGGAAATTATCCTAAGGTGTTGCGTGGTCAATTCATGTGAGGTGATCATGGGGTCCCGACTGTTATATTGGAAACAATTATTTCACATGTCCTATGGTTTTGGAATGCATTCTTTGGTATAGCATGGTCAAACAATGACCAGAATGTGCTCCAAGCGTCTTCGTTATTTAGCAATATTTTGCAAAGTAAAGCACCAAACATGTCATACATTGTGAATGAAAATGAATATAAGTATGAATATTACTTAGGTGATGGGATATATTCAAAGTACGCTACAATTGTCAAGTCATATTCATTTTCAGCCAATAAAAATCGAAAAATGTTCAAGTTAGCACATGAATATGCAAGGAAGGATGTGGAACGGATATTTGGAGTCCTCAAACAAAAGTAACACATAATCAAACATCGGACACAAACATGAGATATGGAAAAATTGACGACGGTGTTGATTGTTTGTGTTATTTTACATATATAATATGATAATAGAAAAATAGGATATGACTATTTATTCATATATCACAAACGATATACTTAATGCACCTGCAGTAATACGAATTCGCAGCCTAACATACTTCACAAGGGTTTTGGAAATACAACATCGTGAAACACATCACAATCTACGTCACGATTCGACCGAACACCTATGACACATGCAATTCCAAGGGTAAAATGACAATGAAGATAAGGAGGATGAGAGCGGTGATGACGAGGCCGGTGAAGACGACGAGGCCGGTGACGATAACAACGAGTAGTATTTTTCTATGTTTTTTTATGTTTTTAAAATTTAGTTTTTTAAGCAATGTAATGTTGTATTTTAGTAATTTAGGTTTTAAATTTCTATATTTTTAATCAATGAAATGTGGTTTAATTTTTTTATGTTTTCAAAAAATATATTTATATTATAAATTATGTTTTTTATTTAATGTAATGTTATAAAAAAAAAATAAAATAAAAAAAAAAAAGAAATATTGTGAAGTGGTAACAATTTTCAATATCTAGTGAGTTTGTGGTGAAGCTGACGTAGCGCAGATGTGCCAACGTTTTCACGGTGGGTTGGCGGTGAACACTCCCCATAACCTAAAATCATACATTTTATTGAAAAATGTGATATTAATACTTAGATATGAACATTTTGGATATAAAACAGAATAAATTTTCAAAAAATTGGTGAAAAATTAAGGAGTTTGAAGATTAAAAATGAAATGAAACATTTCGAAATTGAGCATTCTTTGAATTTATTTTTTTGAAAAGTGGTCCGGAACAGTAGTTCGAAATGGGGCGTTCAGGAGAAAGTTGTCATTTTTCAAAAACTGAAAAAAAAAATGGTTATTTAAAAGAAGCTCATTTATAAAGGTTAGTTTACTAAATATCCCATTATTATTATTATTATTATTATTATTATTATTATTATTATTATTATTATTATTATTATTGGAAATGACAAAATTAGCTGTATTAGGGAGGGCTTCAAAAAAATAGCCATTTACAAAAAATCATCAATAAACACCGATTTCACAATGAGTCCACTATTTGCTGCTAAATAGTCCCATGTAGTAGATTGTTCCTCTTTTTACACCATTTTTTTAAAATCTGTCAATCTAATACTTTATTTTGCACTATAAAACTTCTTTTTATGCGGAAATTGTTTTTTAAATCACAACAAAAAAATAATATTATGTGTTTTTGATTGAATAATGGATTGATATATTTTTATTATTATAGGAGAAGGAGAAGAAAGCGAAAAAGAAGATGTACACTTCTGTAGGTGTTGTTGAGGTTCATGTTTATTAAAGAAATCCATGGTAATTGACATACATTGAAAAAAAAAAAAAAAAAAAAAAAAAAAAAAAAAAATCATATTGTTTGTTGCTCATGAGCAAAACATGTTTTTTCCCCTTAATTTCAGGATGGCATATTTCTCTTTCTCGATTGATTAAACTAATCAATCTATGAAACCTTTGATTTGCTCTCAATAATTGATCCCATTTGTCTCTCTTTTTATAGATGCCTCAAATATTTAACACCATTCGTTCACATCACATCTAATACTATTTGAATAAATAAAAAAAAGTACATGTCAACAGTCGCTTCACAAACTACTTAAAACAAATATATATATATTTTTTTTAAAGAATGAAACAAAGCATCATTTTAGTAACTCCTATATATTATAAGCTAAAGATGTGTGGGTACAGAAAAAGCCAAATAGCCAGCCTTTTCCTCTTCTTTTCCTCATCTCCTTCCCTTTTTCTTTTCCTTTGACTAATCAGTATTTGTTAATGGAACATGGATAGACATGGGACCTCTTCATCTTTGTCATGCTAGTTCTTTCACATGTGAATTTACAATACTACCCTTGACATGACCCTTTATTGGATACCATCACTTGGTCATATCTATCTACTTCCAACTTGTAGTTCTAATGATCGCACCTTAAGTTTGGAGGTACCCTAAAACTTTGGGGGTGAATGTCATTGTTGTCAATATGTTTTGGTGAAAATAAAGAGATAGAATAGGGAAAATTAATAATTTGATCCATGAAAATGACACTTTATTCTTTTGCTTTTGTCTATGAACATTTATTGAGTATACAAGATGGGAAATTGTTGGATGGAGTATGGAGATGAGTATATCGATTGACTTGTGAGTTTTAAGTTTGTGAATGAATATTATAAACAAAACAATCATACAAAGAACGATCTAGGATGCTAACGTGGCTTTTGTTCTCATCCTATGAATCATTGATTCTTTCTATTTTTTATACATATATTATATTCAAATTTGAGATTTGAGATTTATTTTAAGCAAACTCCTTTAAGCAACAACATCAATAGATCCTACAATCTCAATGGGATAGCAGGGAGGTAGATTTCGGAAGACATGCCTTCACAAATGTAAAATCACTGCTTCACATAGATTACCTCCTGTATATTTATACATGAACCTAGAAATTCGATGTCAACAATAATATATGCATATTCATGCACAAACTCAATTAAATCTAGTTACGTATTTACAAAATTTTGGACTCAAATGAGAAACATATTGGGCGAGAATCTTGAAAACTGATGCAAGAATCTTAGATCAAGCATTATAAACATGGATAGCATTTTGTAGATATATGCATCCGATGTTTGAATTGTGAATTCGATGTTATAATATGAGAATTTACAAACTTGTACATTTTTACACTAGAAAATTAATTAGAAACTGTAACAGTATATGTTTCAAATTAAAGAATAAAAGCTGCCTCTCAAAATATTTTGTTGATTTTATCACTAAATTAATCAACTATATATTAAGTTTAAAGTAGTTATGTAATCTAATTTGTTTTTCAAAAATAATTCTAAGAGAAATATCTTTATTGTTTTGTTCTTCTGTATACATATACTTAAAATAATATAGGAACCAACGATTCAAATCGGCCTATAAGACACCTCCTATAGCAACTCGATCTTTTCATTTTATACCAACAAAGTTATATGTTTTATGATAAGCTACTTTATTATAATTAGCATTTGATAAACTATTTTAAGATAACTTTTGATAAGTTTATAAAGTTTTTTTCAAAATATTTCAAGTATGTCTTTACTTATATATATATTGTTTTTTTTTTTTTTTCTTTTAGTTATATATCTAAATTTCCACTTATGCTATTCTATATTATATTCAACATTTTTTTTTATTAAGTACTATTAGACTACCAATATATTA